CATTTGTATCTATACCCAAATATCTGAAGACTCATCTAACTTATATTTAAAAATTTCAACATTTCGAACGGTGTGTGTCTGTGACTCTCATAATCTATCTTCTTCATGTCTCTCGCAGCATCGAATAGCGTTTTGAAGAAATCAATCCTGCATCCTGCTCTGGCATCCTATTCGTTCGCAATTTGAGGTAATCTACCATATTATGTGGAGTATTTTTGAATTAAATGTTGAGAAGTTTGGCTGGTAGTCGCAAAATATGACAAATGATTTGCAAGTGATGAAAAAGTAGTTTTACATGAATTGTGGGCTATGTCATGGTTAGAAGGTCCAATTGTGTTATCAAGACTGTCGCAGCATAAAGCACTTACAAAAATAAATTCTGGATCACTTAGATTTTCGCGGTGTAGCTTCATCGATCAATAGTCGTATCTATTTGAATCACAAATCTTTCTGCCAACCTTTTTTTTTGCGCACGGGACAAAACCATAAGGAATTCGATTGCGGTAGATCAAAGATGATCTAACACGCACAATGTGCTACAGTGATCTCACCCTAAGCCTACAGCTATTCTTTCTTCATACTGTCTACAAAAGTCAGGAAGTTCCTACCATGGAAAACTGATAACGAGAGAAGATTGCAAATTCGCTTTTTTTTAGAAAGTAATTTTTATTTTGGTGGAGTTCCTATTTGCACACATTTACGCTTCAACTTATGCAACAGATTTGGCGAAAGAGCAGTATTAACTGGGAAGGAGGGCTTAGCATATCGTCTTCAAGTGAAACGTCCCAAAGTTTTTTAACTTCGATTTTTGTTTAGTTTGTCGATAAATGAATACCACTTTTCCTAACATTTTTACTAACGGACAGTACTTAATCAATTTGCTTATATCTAACCGAGGGTCCGCTTTTCTATAGACCTAAACTTTTTTTAAACAAAAGTTTTACTGATTGAAAAGATTGTTCGGTGTTCTGCAATTGTAGAAATTGATCGATGCTTCTGCAAAACACGTTTACCGCTTCGAAGGGTAGAAGAAGCTCCGAGTGACATTTGCAGTGCTTGCAATGACAGAGTCGTTTGGATCCTTACAACGTTATCTCATCCAATTTTGCTAATAAACAATTTTCTTGAAAGTTCGTGCTTTCTTCAATTGCTCCACCTTCTATTATAGCATGACTGGAATTTGCAAAAACCTTTGAGAAATCAAAGAAGGATTTAGTGGCTTTGTTGAACAGTCTTTTCTTAAAAGGACAACTTTTCTTATAAATCACTAAAAGCAAAAATCAATGCATAATGGCTTTTGTAGATAATAATGAGAATAAGAAAAGTTCATCTGCACTTACCGTTAATTTGCCATTTAGGTGTTGCAAGTTCCTAAGTTTTTTGGTCTAAAAAGTTTTGCAGAAATGGCTGAGATAACGTGAAGATAAGGAGCATTTCGTAGCTTTACTCTCGTCATGCGAGAATAAAAAAATAGAAGAGTAGCTAACAATAAAGTAAGGATAGACTATCTAATTTCAAATGAACATTAGCCTAGTAAACTCAACCTTCCGAGTTTTCTGTTTTTTCTCAGAGCTGAAGGCTCTGAAATTTTGATAGTTATCTACTGTTTGAAGTTATTTTTGCAAGGGTTTTGTAACAGATTCGGCAATGGTTCTTTAA